ACTGCAACGCTTTCTACTAAATGTTATCATGTCATTCCTTGATTCCCCCTTTGAAGATTCTCTGTCTCGAGAGATGAATTCCAAATGAATGAAAATACACAATGAAATATGCATATATATATTCATACACACACATATGTGTATATATGTGTGTGTGTATGTATTTATTATGTATATATATATTTATTCACACACACAGAAATATATATATATATATATATATTTATATATATATATTATATTCATATATGTATTTATCTACACACATACATATGTGTATATATACATAGATATACATATTTATATATAATGTGTATATATATGCCTGTCTCTCTCTTTCTCTCTCTATATATAATATATATATATAAATTATATATATAATACATATATATATATATTTATATATTTATAGTAAGGTGCATGTGATGATTACAGCATGCGAGGAGGAGCAAGGAAATCACTCCGATAAACATACAACTCGATACGTTTGATCTTCTTAATGAGCATCAACTAATTATAATATCTGCTCTCCAATGATGATAAATAAATATTTGTTTATCTCTCGGAAATGAAGGGCTGTGCCTGCCCCAGGAATTGTCAGTCATAGCCAGTGCAGCGTTGTTTCAAGATGTCTGATCTGAGGCTCTTGCTCCTGGTCAGCCTGTTCTCTCTGCCCCTGTCTGCGTTTCTAGGTACGTCCCTTTCGCGCCATGGAAAACTTCTCAAAGGGGCTACAGCGGGCGTATTTACTGTGCATTACTCTGCATAACTCAAGTGCTTTCTCTTCTCAGGCAAGAAAATCCACAAAGTCTATCCAAAAAGTAAGCGGCGCTCGTGTTCTTTGAGGCGACATTTCCGGTTTATGAGGGGCATGGCGAGAAGAATGGAAGAGAAGGGAAACAGGAGAAAAAGATAGGTTGAGGAAAAAGCAGAGGGACGGAGAAAGGGAGATAGAGGATGAAAGGGAGAAAGGAAGAAAAAAGAGCTGTAAAAGGGGAGGCAGAAAGAAGAGAGGAAAGGAGGAAGAGGATGAAAGAGGGAGTGGGGAAGAGAAAGCGAAAGGAAAAAAATAAGAGAGGGGAGGCCGCTGAAGCTCATATGGCTCTAGCGCCGCCCATCTCCCTCTTGAACCCCTTCCTGCTCTTCAACCCTCTTGAACCCCTTCCCGCTGCTCGGTAGATTTTGTTATATGTGGCAAGATTACAGCAAACTGAAATGCAACAATTAAGATAGCTATGGAGAAATCACTCAGCGCCCCCTGGCTTTCCTCCCACAGAATGCTCTGATTATCGCTTTCGAGGAGAATCTTTTCCCTCTGACGGCAGGAAACGAACCTTATTCACCATCCTTCCCACTGAGAACACGAACGACACCTTATACGTCAACGCGAATGGAACCTTCAAAGTAATTCTGACGTATGGAAAAAAAATTAGGTCCGCCAACCTCACGACGCAACTCCGGATCGACTTGTGGAAGGGCGGTAAGGCCAGCCGCGCAGATTCGTGTGCGTGTGTAGTACATATGTATGTATGTGAGTACGTGTACGTGTGTGTATGTGTGTATGTATGTATGGGTTTGTATGTATATGCGCAGGCATGTGTGTGTGTGTGTACGTGTGTATATGTGTGTGTGCTCGCGTGTGCATGGGTGTGCGTACGTGTGTTGTAGATAAATGCACAGATAAGAGGATCAGATACGCAGAGATACTCAGTTCATACTTGTTTTTCGCAGGCGTCAAATTCAAAGCTTGTAGAAAAAAGAAATGCAAAACCCAGGAACCACATTATGTAATACAGTCGAACAGCACTTTGGTGTTGTCTTTTGACTGTCCCAGTGATTCCCAAAGTGAGTTGGATTTATTTTATCTTTGCATGCTCTATTTGCAGCTCCTGTATTCAGTTATTGCTTTTTTTTATTATTAATTTAGTTTTTTAAATTTAGTTTTTATCCCATTTGTTGCAATAGATATTTTTGGTTTGGCTTGTTCTATTTTGCTTCTAAATTACCCCCTGTGCACAAGAAATGGCCGTGGTTACCCTCCGCTTTTATCCTTTGTTTGTTTATCCTCTATACACACTTCACGCCTTTGAGACATTTGCAGCGCCGTGGCATCCAAATTAGGGGCATGGCCAGGCCACCGCTTCCCCGTCTCATGGGAGTGGCACTCGTCCTCCTCGAGCATGGCGTGGTGACCTGGAGGCCCGGGGAGCAAAGCAGCTCGTCAAAGGGGAAGTTGTGGGTGATTATTAGAGACAAGTCTACATAAGACAAGTCAGAAGACTACGTTCTCATAACATCATTGTTCGGGGTGTCTGCGGATAGGTTTATCCTGCATTAGGGTCGCTTTCACACCAAGGTGGCACGTCACCCGTGGCATGCCATTTGAAAATGAACACGAAAATAGATGTGAAGTACGTCGCATTTGCCACGAGCAACCGGCGTCTGTTATTTTTCAGCATGCGATCAATCACCTCGGACATGTCAGATACTAATGAAACTTTTACAGTCATAGTTAAGATAATATAAAAACGTTAAGATCAAACAACATAATATAAAAGGAAATTGTTGGGTGTATAACATACATAGAGTAAATTCGAAATTTCCTGCAAAAACATTTGACACATTGCTTCGGTTACCCAGTGAGAGAGGCTTTGGATGAGAGGGTAACCGCGCGCAGTCTTGCAGGAGAATACAGTCTCGTGCACAGTCAGGCCTCTTTCAGATGATGAGCCAATCAACGCATTTGGACAAACTGTGAGGAAATACAAATGTTTGTATCATGAAACATCTACTCAGTTCTGTGACAATACTCTCCGTGGTGGAATTATCCAAACATTTTGTTTGAGAGAAAAAAGTCCGTAAAAGCTTTTTCAGGGAATAGTTCAATGCTTTGTTTCGAATTTTGCATCAGTGATCTCATTCTCCAACAAATATGTTGCTGCTTCTGCTACCCAACACTTATGTGTAGTAGTTACACCTTAGGGGTCACTCCGCCTACACCCTGGACAGAGAGAGAAGGGGATATGGAACAAGTGCCACACATTCTGCCCCAAAGTCCTCCACCAAGTGACAGATAAATATATATATCTTGTGAACCGAGTGAAAGCGGTCTGACACGCGCCACGTGCAACCTAGGTCTGGAATCACGTTTCAGTTGACACCACCTGCTGTTTGCCACTTCAGAACAAAGTCAAGCCGCTTTCATACCAAGGTGGTACTTTGCACGCAGCAAGTGGTAAATGACACGTGACATGGTGCTTTCAGACCAATGTTACATGTGGCGCATGTTACTCGGTGCACAAAATGCCGTCATCCGGCAGAATGTGAGCTTAACTTGTTCCAATACCCTGAAAATACTTCCAAGGATTTTATTCACAAACAAAACATTTTGATAATTCTTCCATGGGGAGTATTGTTATTGTACTGAGGTAACGTTGTATCTCTAAAACATTTGTATTTTCCCACAGTTAGTACAAATGTTATGTTGATTGGTTCATTGTCGAGAAAAAGCATAATCGTGCACCAAAGCAGGTACATATCGCACGTGCCAGGGAGGAGAGGCTCACCCCCTGACCAGAATCCGTCCGGGGAAACTATCCTGCACCGTTCGAGGCTGGGGTCACCGCCTACTCTTCTCCTGGCCTACTTCTACGCCCTGGCTGTTGCTCTCTAAGGCCAACTATCCACAGCTCCTTTACGCTGAATGCACCATCTGCTTCTCGCGACCCCTTGCTCCTTTCTACTGCTGGACCGCGAAATGTCGCCTGGTTGCTCCACCTTCTTTCCTGCCGAAAACGTGCGTCGCCGCCGCTGCTTCGCTCCCCTTTTGCGAGAGTCAACTGGCTCGAGATGTCTTTCGAGCCTCTTGGTCACTTGTCTTTGGTTCTGGGCTGCTCACTCGAGTCCCCTCGCCGGTGACGGTGAACCCCGAGGGCAGTGCCAGGGGGATCCTTGGAAGGATTGCTCCAGACTAGTGAGAAGGGTTAACTGGTATGTATATATATATTTGTGTGTGTGCATATAAGTATGTATATATATGTAAATATATGTAAATTTAGGTATATATATACGTACATATACATAAATATTTATACATATATATATGCATATATATGTGTGCGTGTGCGTATGCATTATATATATAGTATATATATACATATATATGTATATGTATATTATATATACACATATATGTAGTGTGTATATATATAGTATGTATATGTATATAAATAAAGTATATATATATTTGAGTATGTGTGTGTTTCTGTGCATATATATATATTATAAATATATGTATATATATGTATACACATATATATGCAGATATATTATATTTATGTATGTAAATATATAATATATATATATTATATATGTTTGTGTGAGTGTATGTATTTATATATTTATATATATGTATATATAAATGTGTGTATCTGCGTGTGTATATTCTATATATATATTATATATATTATCTTTCTATCTACCTTTATCGATATGCATATATATACAATATGTACCTCTCGCGCTCTCTCTTTGTCTATCTATATATATATGTATATATAGGAATAAATTATATATATGTATTTTTGTATGTGTATTTATACATGTGTGTATGCGTGCGTGCGTGTGGGCATTCATGCACACCCACACATGCGGATTTGCATATATTAGGTAAGGATCATGGGTCAGCCACCCCGGTATAAAAAGACCCATGATTTCATGATTTCAACATGGCGCCTAGTAGCCGTCAAACACCGCATCTGTGACGGCTCGAATGTAAACAATGTGTATATATATACATATATACCCATATATATACACATACGTATATATATATAACCTTTGTATATACATAGAAAGATATATAGAAACATATATTTATATATATAAAGGTGTATGTATATATATATATATACACAGATACATACATATATATGTGTGTATGTGCATATATATATATGCACATATAGCTAGCGGCGCTAATCTTCAATAGAAAGACGTTGCCCCCACCAGCCCGAGCAGCATCTCAGCAGTCGATGGTGATAAAAGCAGTAAGACCTTTCCCTTACTATAGAACCTCCAGGCTAGTACAGTTATAACGTGTGGGCTTCTTATCCGAGGGGTCGGCGGTTCGCGCCCCGCCCAGGTGCGAGAAGTTGCAATTGTCGCGTGGGGATTACTGCTGTGGCTGGGCACCACGGCGGGTAAGGACAAAAGCCGAGTCAGCACCAGCTGACACACTGTTAGCGAGTCGACATTAGTCGGCACAGGCCGGGCTCCCCTCATAACCCGGGCGAGTCTCAGCTTCGCATATCGGACTTGTCCTTATCCCTTTCTAAGTGTGACAATTAAAGGTAGAGTACGTAGACCGGCCAAAGGTATATTTTGTTTTCAATGTTGCTTCTGATGATGGCGAAAGCCAACTGTTGTATTACGAAGCTGTGCTATCACACAGCTGCGTGACCTCCCACATGCGTCGTATGGTTGCGTTCCTTCCCTCTCTCTTGGGTTTGGGCCCAGAATGGCGTCAGGGGAATTTCCAAACGAGGTTCAAAATTGTAAAAAAAGTTGAAAGTAATGATACAAGTTTTTTTACGGAATGACAGTCTTTACTGAGGTTGAGGAATGCATACGGTCCCCATGCGGTACCTTTACTTTTTGAGGGTGTTGATTGGGCAGACAGTATTGGCAAAGAGTGGTATTTTCCGTTCATTATTCCTGAGGTAAGAGAATATGATCGGGATTTTTTTTGTATGTGTGAAAATCGTCCAGTGTTTGCGATGTTTCACGCTTTCTTCTCTGGAAAGGGCCGAACCAGCCCTCCAGCATTTAAGGGGCTTGCAAGTTTGTCGGCAATGTAAGATCGACAGTTATTTCCGTGTAGATGTACAATTTTCAGCCAGATTTCAGATTTCCAGGTTCTGCGCCTCCAATGAGCAACGTCTTCAGATTTTGGCAAGGTTTGATTCCCGATCACAGCCAAAAGAAATCCATCCTCCCCATCCAGGTAGGCGAGTGCTTGTATATCTCTATAAGTCGCGACGTTGATCTTATTGAATTGACTTCGAACTGCTATTGACATCAAATGAACTGCATTCTGATTTACATTTTTTCTCATAGGCTTACCCTACTGACATCAGATTTCCGAAGAGATTCGTTTCAGGTCCTCATTCGCCAGCACCTCCTAGGCTCTTAGCCACCTTGACTCGCAAATCTGTGCTGAGTTACACCTGCTGCATGAAGCCCAACCAACGTGGAGGTAACCTAGGAATGAAATATGCGAATGACTGTCGTTTAAGCTGATAAGGATTGAAATAGTGCGCCGAAAGGGAAAGGGGGGAAATAGTGGCACAGTGCGATCTTGTGCAGGGCTATTGCCGGTATCGAACAAACTTAAGAAATCTCACATGTACGGTTTTCATTTCACTTTTATTGAGTTTATGATTATCACAATGTGCAGCACTCACCACAAAGCTGGAAGGAATAGTGTGACCATTAAACCATGTACAACAGATGCTGATTAATATCGCTGGTTACACTGAAATTTGATCGCGATGATAGAAGAGAATAGATAATATGGGTGATTGGATTGTCCCTTATTTGTTTTTGATCTATTTATTTATTCATCTTCAACGAATGCAATTCTTCTATTGCCTTTCCAGCTTCACCTCAATGTCTCCTGCAGCCAAGGCGGAAGGACGAAACCGCGGTGAGTGGCGTCAGAAAATCGCGCTGACACTGTCCTTGATGATGACCTATGCTGACCTTTGACCCGAATTTTATGCTCAGCGTCGGCGTTTGCAGAGAGGTAGAGCGAATGCTTCATATGTTTTACTTAAGCAAAAACAAATAAAAGACAACAAAAAAAACTCGAATGTATAAGGAAATGTTCTCACTCAATCTCATGTTGTCTGGCTGTGTGTGTGTCAGTCGTTTGCCAATCTATGTGCATTTCAGACTGAGACGATACCCTGGCGGGCCTGGTCGACGACAGGTGCTGAATGCAGTCGCCGGTACAGGGAGCAGCGCATGGCCATCCCGCACAGGACAGTCACACAGCGGGAAGTCCTGTGTGTGGAACGAAAACCATCACATGACGTCACAAATAGATGTTCCCGAGATGGTTACCACATGTGGCCGACTCCACACACTATTTGCCCGTGCGCTGTCCTTGCCGACTGGCTTTCACTGGCTTTATTACGAACATCTGGACAGTTTTTTTCCACTCATCGGCCAAAGGTTGTTTCGAGGTGACTGGAATCTGCGCCACAACCAAGGTTCCCGCCACCTCCTCGCGACCGTGGCCGTGGAGTTTTTTTCCTGTCCAGCCGCCAGATCGGCACTGACATGAGCCGTTGCCATGTTTACTTTAAGATGCATATCTCATGTGTGGTCTTCTGTTATATACGGTGCCATGTCGCCACGTGTGGATCATTTGCCATCAGGCTTTAAGCAACTGACAATAAATGTCGATTTCACGCCAAGTTTGTTTCCTTGTCACTAGAAACGCAGGTGTAGTGGCCTGATGTGTATGTATATATATGTATACATATATATGTATATATATAATAATATATATAGAGAGAGAGAATATGTGTATATATGTATATATATACACATATATAGATGGACAGAGATAAATAGACACAGATGTAGATACATATGCATATACTAAATACATACGTATTTATAACTATATATATTTATATAATACATCTATACATATATACGTATATTTATGTATATATATTTGGATATATATAAACATACACATATAAAAACATGCTTATATATATACTAAATATAGATATATATGTATGTATAGATACATACATGCAAACATATGCAAATAGATTTATATATATAGACATGTTTATATAGATATATACAAAAATGTATGTGTGTGTGCGTGCGTATGGTCATGTGTATGTATGTGGGATGTGTTCTTTACATCTCGTCACATGGGTCAAAATTTCATCACTGATAGCACATTTACTTTTCTTATATAATCTCGAAAGAATTAGTAAGATCATTTCATAAAAATAAGTCATTTGGAAATAAATCAACGTTTCCATTGAAACATATTGGTATATGTCTAGAATAAGAAAATGTGACGTCACTTCCCCGTGCGAACCAAAAACGCGGGAAGTAAACATCGCGAACATGTGGACTTGTTCGGAATTTTATCTTTTGCTATTAATGGCAAAATAATGTAGTTATTATTTTTTTTTTTTTTCATTACATATTCCTGGATTAGACCTCCATAACCTTGCGTAACATATATTTCTGAAACTGCGCACCAACTCTTTGTGCACGAACATACTTTCACGCTTGCGCACATGCAATGATTGTGTTTTCTACATTTCACTCGAGCTTCGTCGTCGGTGTCTGCTGGGTTATTTTACCGGTATTTTCTGTCGGGCGCCTGTGCTGAAGACCTACGGCAGCAACACTTTGAAACAATCCACTGTCGATCCATCGCCACACACCACAACCGACACAAAAACAGCGCCAAAGTTTGATTTGAAGAAAATGCGCAAGCGTGAAAGTATGTTCGTGCGCAAAGTGTTGATGCGTTTGCACGCCGGACGAATAGACAATGTTGAGATCCGGCGGCGAAACAATGACCACACCGTATTAGATATGTATATGGATATATATATGCATATATGTATATATGGATATATATACATATATATGGGTGTGTGTGTGATGTGTTTTTTATGATATATATATACATATATGTGTGTATGTGCGCGTGTGTGTGGGTATGTATATGATTATATATGTATGCATATATGTATATATGTGTGTGTAGACAGATAGGTATATATAGATATATATGTATATATATATGTGTGTGTTTGTTTGTGTATATATGTATATGAATATATATACATATATATAAATATATAATATATGAGTGAATGTATATGCATATATATATATGTGCATATATACATACACATATATATGTATATATATAATTCCTATATTTAAAAAAATCCATGACTCAGTTCTGTACAATTAAAACTGATAAACAAATAGTAACATTATTTTTTTATAGCAGAATATGAAGATTCTTCTGTGCGAGGGAGATATGAAACTGGACGGCCAGTTTAGTAAAAGAGTCTCACCTGAGGGAGGGACATCCCCATCCCGTGAGCAGAGCAGGGTAGGCCGGGAGAATGGACAAGGAGCAACTGCTCCCGAGAATGCACAGGGAGATTACCAAAGAGAGCACAAAGACGGCACTCCAAGCACAGGTCTCAGCAGACTGCAGCAACGTTCCAGGGAAATACGCAGCAAGTTCAAGGTACTGGGAAGCTACGGAACGCCATCAGCACTGCGGTCACTGAAATCTCCAGCCTCCAGAGGCACACACAAGCCTTTTCGAATGCCATTTCGACAGCCTCTGGATTCAGCTAAAAATGTTTAGGTTTATTAATGAGATGCAATGGAATACCTGTCCATTTTTGTTTAGCACTGAAACGCTTCAGTTCCTTGATATGGATCATGAAGATGCATTGGTTCCATGTTTATATTCTGTGATGTTTCATTAAGATACAGACTGTGATTTTGTTTGAAGCCATATGATGTAGGCCTAGCATTACTTAATCTAAGTACTTTAGAATGACTATTTTTATTAGGTTTGTGATATTGCCAAGAAACTTTTTTTTATTGTGTTACAATATATTTTTATATATTTGAATTTGTGTAAGAAGGATATCCTTTCTTTAGATTCCTTGAGTAAAAGGCATACCAAATAAAGATGTATAGACTGATTTGCCTGTGTCTGATTTTAAGCTATGGCACCATTTCTTTAAGGATGAGCAGCAAAAAAATAGGAAAGCACTGCAACGATTTCTACTAAATGTTATCACGTCATTCCTTGATTCCCCCTTTGAAGATTCTCAGTCTCGAGAGATGAACTCCAAATGAATGAAAATACACAATGAAATATGCATATATATATGTACATACACACATATGTGTATATATGTGTGTGTATGTATTTATTTTGTATATATATATATTTATTCACACACACAGAAATATATATATATATATATATATATATATATATATATATATATATATATATATATATATATATTTATATATTCATTCATCTACACACATATATATTTGTATATATACATAGATATACATATATATATTGTGTATATATATATATATATACCTGTCTCTCTCTTTCTCTCTCTATATATAATATATATATAAATTATATATATAATACATATGTATATATTTATATATTTATAGTAAGGTGCATGTGATGATTGCAGCATGCGAGGAGGAGCAAGGAAATCACTCCGATAAACACACAACTCGATAGGTTTGATCTTCTTAATGAACATCAACTAATTATAATATCTGCTCTCCAATGAAGATAAATAAAATATTTGTTTATCTCTCGGAAATGAAGGGCTGTGTCTGCCCCAGGCATTGTCAGTCATAGCCAGCGAAGCGTTGTTTCAAGATGTCTGATCTGAGGCTCTTGCTCCTGGTCGGCCTGCTCTCTCTGTCCCCGGGTCAAGGTACGTCCCTCTCGCGCCATGGCAGACCTCTCAAAGGGGCTACACAGACTAAGCTAAGCGGGCGTATTTACTGTGCATTACTCTGCATAACTCATGTGTTTTCTCTTCTCAGGCGAGAGATTCTTCCGTTCCTTTTCAATAAGTAAGCGGCGCTCGTGTTCTTTGAGACGACATTTCCGGTTTATGAGGGGCATGGCGAGAAGATTGGGAGAGAAAGGAAAGAGAAGAAAAAGATAGGTTGAGGAAAAAGAGGGAGAGAGAGGATGCAAAGGGAGAAAGGAAGAAGAGAGAGGAGTGAAAGGAGAGGCAGAAAAAAGAGAGGAAAGGAGGTAGAGGAAGAAAGAGGGAGTGGGGAAGAGAAAGCGAAAGGAAAAAATAAGGGAGGGGAGGCCGCTGAAGCTCATTTGCCTCTAGAGTCGCCCCTCTCCCTCCTGAACCCCTTCCTGCCCCCCTACCCTCTTGAACCCCTTCCTGCCCCCCTACCCTCTTGAACCCCTTCCTGCCCCCCTACCCTCTTGAACCCCTTCCTGCCCTCCTACCCTCTTGAACCCCTTCCTGCCCCCCTACCCTCTTGAACCTCTTCCCGCTGCCCGGTAGATTTTGTAATATGTGGCAAGATTACAGCAAACTGAAATGCAACAATTAAGATAGATAGCTATTGAGAGCTCACTCAGCGCCCCCTGGCCTTTCCTCCCACAGGCTGCTCCGATTATCGCGTTCTTGGAACTATTATCTATTATCCCTCTGAAGGCATGAACCGAACCTTATTGACCCTTCCTATTGAGGACACGAACCAAACCTTATACGTCGGACCGAAGGCGAATGGAACCTCCAAAGTACTTCTGAAGTTTGGAGGAAAATCTGAGTCGGTCAACCTCACGACGCAACTCCAGATCCGCTTGTGGGATGACGGTAAGGCCAGCCGCGCAGATTCGTCTCCTCGGATGTTGCATCTACGTATGTCTGTGTGTGTAAAAGAGGACGTGCCTGCCTGCCTGCCTACCTGCATCGTTATATGCGTGCTTGTATGTGTATATGTACATGTATATGTGTATGTGTGCATATATGTATGTGTATATGTACGTGTGTGTTTGTATGTGCTTGTGTGTGTGTGTGTACGTGTGCGTGTCTGTGTGTATGTATGTATGGGTTTGTATGTATATGTGCAGGCATGTGTGTACGTGTATGTATGTGTGTGTGTACGTGTGTATTTATTTGTGCATGGGTGTGCATGCGTGTGTTGTAGATAAATAAATGCAAAGATAAAAGGATCAGATACACAGAGATGCTCAGTTCATACTTGTTTCCCGCAGGCATCAAGTTCTGTGTTGAAGTTTCTGGAGAAAGGATATGCAACAACCATACAAACTATTTTGAAATAGAGTCGAACGACACTTTTTCTCTTGACTGTCCCAGTATTTCCCAAAGTGAGTTGGATTTATTTTATCTTTGCATGCATCACTCTACTTGCAGCTTCTGGATTCAGTTATTGCTATTTTTTTAATTAGTTTTAATCAATTTCACTTTTTTAAGTTTAGTTTTTATCCCATTTGTTGCAATGGATATTCTTGGTTTGGCTTGTTCTATTTTGCTTCTAAATTACCCCATGTGCAGAAATGGCCGTGGTTACCCTCCGCTTTTATCCTTTATTTGTTTATCCTTTGTACACACTTCACGCCTTTGAGACATTTGCAGTACCGTGGCATCCAAATAAGGGGCATGGCCAGGCCACCGCTTCCCCGTCTCATGGGAGTGGCACTCGTCCTCCTCGAGCATGGCGTGGTGACCTGGAGGCCCGGGGAGCAAAGCAGCTCGTCAAAGGGGAAGTTGTGGGTGATTATTAGAGACAAGTCTACATGAGACAAGTCAGAAGACTACGTTCTCATAACATCATTGTTCGGGGTGTCTGCGGATAGGTTTATCCAGCATTAGGGTCGCTTTCACACCAAGGTGGCACGTCACCCGTGGCATGCCATTTGAAAATGAACACTTGAAAATATATG